CCTGGTTCCTACTCTGCAGAAGGACTTCACATTTTAGGATCACAGTGCAGTTGGCAGTGACCTTGACCAGTTTTAGAAGAAAAAAAGAACTGAGTTAATAATGTTAATCTTAACCTATATTTATACTTGTTGAGACTATGAAGCCAGTAAAAGCACACCCCATTCTCCTGGGTTTCTCTGTACTCCACCCAGCTTGGGGCGTGGCCCTTGGTGCTTGCCCCATTATTAAAAATGGAAGAGTTGCAACAAGGGGCTGGGAATTACAGACTTTAAAGGGAAGTTTCCTTGATGTTTTTCAGTTTTTTTAGTAGTTTGAACATTAAAGTTTTGGGTTTTTTTAAAAGATGACTCAAGAAGACAAATGCGGGAAAATTTCAACACTGAGAACCTAAGACATGTAGAGAAATGATTAAGCCCTGTTTTTACAGTGATTGGCTCCGCTCAAAAAGCCCCAAAGAAAACACTAGAGACCAGGTGAGTTGTCCAGCTGAACAAAAAGGTACTTATTTACAAAATAGTGACCTTTTAGAGGAAAATGGGAGGAAGAGAGGATGAAAGAGAAGGGACTGGGGGAGGGAGGAGGAACAGGGCTATTTGTGTTCATTTCTCTTTGGACACTTTGAGAAAGAACCCTTGTTTCCCAAACCAAAGCAATCTTTTCCATGCAAGAGGCGACGAAGCCACATTGTATGCCAGCTTTGTAGAACTGATTGTGCTGCAAGAGGGCCTTTTTCCCTTCTACTAAAGAAAAAAAAGCCAGTATCAGGACCAGGAATAATAAGGGCAGCTAACAGTTACTGGACATCAGCCAAGGGTCAGGCACTGTGCCAAGTAATTTACACCTATTATCGAATTTAGTTCTCACAACATCATGGGCAAGGAGTACCGGTCTATCCATTTTACAGGTGAGAAAGTTGAGGTCTGGAGATGTTCATTTGTCCCATCAGGCTATGCAGCTGGTGAATAAGTAGGAGAGTAGGGATTCACATTCAGAGCTGTTTCTCTTCTGAGCCGTGCTCACCCTAGGAAACCCGGAGGTGAAACAGAAGTCCATGGCCATGCATTCTTGGAGCTCCTCAACAATATTAGGGATTTGACAGAAGAAGAAGCACAACTCAACAAAGACGTTAGGACCATCGAAGGTGTGGATTCAGGCTACCCAATGCCTGGGCAGCTCACAGGATTGGACAGAATTTGACTAGTGGACCAGCAGGTTCCAAACCCCCGCCTCTCCTGACCCAAGCCCCTGCCAGACTACCTTACCCACCTCTGCCACATCTCAGCTTCCTACCATAAGCTGGGTTTCAGCAACCAAAAGAGCACCAGTGAATCCTCTATCTACTTCAGCAGTGGACACATTCAGCCCGGGGCAAGATGGAAGTCTGAGAGCTGAAGAACTGATGATTTCAAATTGTGATCCTGATGAAGACTCTTGAGAGTCCCATAGACTGCAAGGAGATCAAACCAGTCAATCCTAAAGGAAATCAACCCCGAATATTCATTGGAAGGACTGATGCCGAAGCTGAAGTTCCAATACTTTGGCCACCTGATGCAAAGAGCCACCTCATTGGAAAAGACCCTGATGCTGGGAAAGATTGAGTGCAGGAGGAGAAGGGGGCAGCACAGGATGAGATGGCTGGATGGCATCACTGACTCAATGGACATAAATTTAAGCAAACTCTGGGAGATGGTGGAGGACAGAGGAGCCTGGAGTCTGCAGTCCATGGGGTCGCAAAGAATTGGACACGACTTAGCGACTGAACAACAACAATAACTGTAAGATGGAAAGGAGCAGGGCAGCTGACTTGTTTCTCATGCCTGATCCTCTCATTGAGGTAGTCATGATGTCACCAAGGCATATTTAGGGGGCTCAAATGACATTTCAAGGGAAACCAGAAAAGTTCCTCCTGTTTCTGGAAATCAATGGCCAGAATGCCTAGACATAGGGCAAAGCTTACTGGGAAAAAGCACTAGGACTTTGGCCTTGAATCACGACTACTGCTCCTCACTCCCTTATTCTACTCATCTTAGGAGTCAGGGCATGAACTAACTGCTCCTTTGGTCAAAAATCCTCAAAGCAGGCCCATCTGTGAGCTTGAACTTTCAGGTGAAGATTTTTCCTCCAATTGGAGTTCACATTCTGTCCTTGAAACTCAAAAACTCATTCCTTAGGACCTGTGGGCACCAAGAGTGTTCCATTCTGACAGCCTGCCCACTCAGAAAACTGCAAGGATAAGGAGAGTAAACAACTTGCTCGGGCCCCAAGGAGAGTCATAAAAAGGTGGGGGATGAGGCAGTGGAGGAGGTTTGGACTGAACAACTTGATGAGATCTTTCATGGATGACATTTCACCGCCAAGCAAATTACTCTCCGCACACTGCACACCTAACACATCCTTTGCTGGGTACACTGCATGGATGCCTCCTGTTTCCAGGGCAACCATACCTGGGGTGGAGGGTGGCAAGCAATGGATGGGCTGGCTAAGCCTTATTGCCTTGACAACCCAGGTCCCTGAAGTGGATGAACAACCCACTGGTGCATAAGCTCAGCCCTAACACTAGACAGAGCCAGTGGGAGTGAGGATGGAAAAGGCATCCAGTGGGGAGAAATCTGTAGCTCAAGGCATGAGGGTTTTCAACAAAAATAATCCTGATCAACAGGCCTCCAGGAGACCATCAGCACACTGATCTTGGCTGTCTCTCTCCCTCACTTCTTCTCTCACAAGATATCCATCAGATAACATTCACTTATTTGGAATGTTTCTAAGTCACAAGTTTGGATCTTGAAGCTACAACATCCACCATTGTCTGCCCTTTTTGGGGGGGCGGGGGGAGGGAGCAGGGGTGGGAAGGGCCATGAAGCTCAGGTGGGGAGAGAATCAAGATTGGGGAATGGAACTGATGAAAAGTAGCTAAAGCAGAAGACTCTGCAGGGAGGCAGAAGGATGGGCCTGGCAGTATCACCCATCAAGTGGATCCCAGATTCCTGCAGTGTGTTGACTTCTCCAGGGAGCCAGAGGAGTCTGGGGCCAGGATGCTATCTTCCAGCCAAGGTCTTTCAGAACAAAGATTCTGTCTCCACCACCATGAGTGGCCGGGAAAGGGCAGAGGTGACTTGGCGAAGCTGGAGAGGAGGCCTTGTCCTTGTGGCTCCTGGTGGGAGGCCAAAACCAGGGGGTGAGTGGCTGTAACGGGTGGAGCCTGTGGGCCTGTGGAGCTCCGGGCATGTAAGACAATATTTTAAGTGCTCACTTCTCCCTGAGCTTTCTCGGACACTGCAGCTATTAAGACTAAGCTCTAATCCCCTGGTGACAGGAGGGCTCTGAAGTCCAAAGGCACAGTCTTTGGACTTGGGGGGGGGGGGGAGGGGTGCAGAGGGAGCTGTTCTAGGGGGTACAGGGCAATAAGAGCTTTGGTTGGCTGGTGGAGGGAGTGTGTCCAGGAAGCAATGGCTAAGCATCTTTCGATCTAATCATCTAGAGGTAAAGGTAGAAAGAAGACAGGAGAAGGAAACCAATACATAACAAAAAAAAGATGGAGAAAAGGACACTGAATTGAGGAAGTGTACTGATGTTGGGAGAGGTTACTCAAAGCTTTCAGGGGACTTTCAAAGACTGCACAGATTCCCAAAGACCCACGCCCCTCCTAACATTCCTCAACTCTGCTCAGCCACGCACCCTCCCCAAGAGGCACCCATCTTCTGGAAGGGTCTGCTTTCAAGACCAGAGACTGCAGAGTTTCAAGGGACAGCTTAAAACCGAGTGGCCCCGTTCTGAACCCAGGCACTCGGAGCTGGCACTATGCCAAGTCGGAAGCTTTGCCGAAAGAGGTCTTCAGATTTTCTTCCTTCCTCTTTCCCTCTGGAAATAAAAGGAGGTTGTGTTTCTCCTGCACAGGCCCCGTTCCTTGCCCATCTCGGACAGATCTTAAAGGGCTTTTTGGATTACTTCGCCAGATACTCAGCCCAGGATAGCAAAGCCCCCGGCACCTTTTTGTCCCGGCTAAGGTGGCCACTACAGTGACTGAGGCCAAAACCAGTTACTGGGGCAGGGGGTTTGGAAGTGGTTCTGAGTCAGCCATCGAAGTCATGCGGGGCAGGCTCTGAAGCCTCCCCCGCCCGCGTCTCCCGGCCCCCAGGAGCTGGGGGGGGGGGGAGCGGACTGGAGGGGAATTGGGCTCCGGGGTTCCCTCCCATGCTGGCAGGGGTGGGGGTGCTAGGAAAGTGGGTGGCGCGAGGGAGCGCTACAGGTGCGGTGACAGACTGGCACCTGGTCAGAAGGGGTCAGGCCTGGAGGGGTCTACACAGCCACCTCGGAGCTTTGTGCTGGGCCAGAGCTCGCCGAGAAACTTCTGGGACCGGAAAACTGCAACAGGGCACATGAGATCCCGGAGGGGGCAGGGACGGGGGCCTTACAGGGGCAGGAAGGGAACTGGCTTCTTCCACCTCCTGCGCGAAAATCAACGCAGAACCGTGCGGGTGGTCTCTCCACCCCCCGCTACAACTCCCTTTCTAGTCCTTCACTCGGCCTCAAGGTCCGTGGCCCACCGAGGAGGCTGAGACGCTGAAAGGCGGCCGATTGGAGCGCCCCTGGGACGCGCAGGGGCTACACAGTCACCGCGTTGGTTTCCCCGCCCTGGAGCCCGGGCTTGGCATCCCCCTTCGCGCGCCTCTGCGCACGGCGCCGGCGCCGCAGGACCCCGAGTCCCTCTCGCTCTCCATCCACGGGTCGCCAAGGGCGCCTACTCAAGGAGACAGCGGAGGAGGCAGAAGTTGAAAATACCTGGATAGAAATACCTTCCCGTCCCAAAGGCCGGACAACTACAGGCCTGGGGGCGGGGGAAGGAGCTGGGGGGAGCAGGAGAGAAGGCGAACCGAGAGCCGCGGGAGCTCCGCACCTCCCGCAGCCAGCGGCGACCAGCGATCTCGCGCGCCCCGGCGCCGCCGGCCTCGCCGCGCCTCGGTGCCCGGGGGCGCAGGGGGGCGCGGGCGGGACTACTCACCCCAGAGCAGAGTGAGAGGCTGGGCTTTGGGGATGAGCACTAGGGAGTACACGGCCGCCAAGTGGAGCAGGCTCATCAGGAAGACGTTCCTCCAGACGATGTCCTGCCGGTGCCCGCGCGCGCCCGGCCTCTCCGGGCCGCCGCCGCCGCCGCCGCCCTCCGAGCCCTCGACCCCGACCCCCGCACGGATCTCCTCCTTGGCGCTGCGGAAGGGGACCTTCTCCGCGTCCACGGCCGGGCCTGGCATGGCTGGGGAGACCTGGGCGCCCGCGGCAGTGGCAGCGAGCCGGCGATCTCTGGGGCGCGGAGCTCTCCGGTGGGAGCGGCGGCTTCTGCCTTTTTTTGAGGGGATTGGGCGGGGGGGATCTCCGGCACCTCCTGTCCCCGCCTTCCCGGCCCTTCTCTGCTTCCTTCTCGCTTCTTCAGGCGTTCAGCGTGGCCTAAGGATGCCAATCTTGGCGCCTGGCATCTGTTGCTGGCGCATCACCCGCTCGGCTGCCGGAGAAGAACTCGGCGGCGGCGACGAAGAGGGGGCGAGCGCGCGGGGCGGGAGGGGGCGCCGGGGGAGGGGAGGGGGTGTGGAAAGAGCGGAGAGCGCGGCGGGGGAGGGACTGCTCCGAGGGAGCGGGGAAGAAAGACCTGCATAGCTACAGCCAATCAGGGTCGCCCTTGCGGCTCTTAAAGAGAAAGGCGCCCCCTTGGCCTCGGCTGCCCGGGCTCCCCGGGGCCGGACGGGGCAGTCCGCAGGGCAAGTGGGCGGCCTCCGCCGGGGTCGGGGCGCGAGGGAGTGGGTCGAAGGGGCTGTGGCTGCAAGGTCAGGGAGCCCGCAGAGCCTCCAGACCACTTGTGCTGCTGCTGCGGTGGTTTCTCCAGTTCCCCGAAATACCTTTCCCTATTGAAAAAGACTTCTTTTTTTCCCCCCACTCTTTGAAGCTACAGGCTGGAGAATTTGCAATCCTATTCCCAAATCGCAGCACAAGTTAAGGCCAGATGTCTCCCGGCTCCTATGGCTCTGGGGCCTGTGTGGAGGGGATGGAGGCAGCCGCTCGCTCGGTTCTTCTTTGGACAACTGCAGCCAGGCACAGAGTAAGTGCTCAGATAGCGCCTGTTAGATGATAAATGATCAAGGGGCCCCTTAGTAACCAGTCGGGCCCGGCCCACTTGCGCAGCCCATCAGCCTTGCAGCTGTTCCTGGCAAATTCTCCCCTAGCCAGTTGGCTTCTGGACTGTCTTAGCCTTGAAGTCAGCCCCGGTTGAAAATGTGGCTTTAGGAAAGGGGAAAAAAACCCAGAACGTTCCAAGGCGAATGAACCTAAGAAAAAATCTTGTCTGCTCATTCCCCCTAAGGCAGATAATTTAGAGCTCCCCAGAGAGCACCCTGATGGCACAGGAGTGCAGAGAAGGGGCAGCTGACTGTGCCCCATAAAGCCGTGGCTGCACCTGCAGTGAGCAGAAGACAGGCCCAGGTATGGAAGCCTGGGGCCCTGAATTCTAATTCTCACTCACTGTGACCCAACTCGGTCCCCTTGGGACGAATTTCCTTGTTGTCTTCAGTTGCTCAGTCCTGTCCCGCTCTTTTTGCGACCCCGTGGACTTCACCCCCCCAGGCTCCAATGTCCTCCAGTGTCTCCTGCAGTCTACTCAAATTCCTGTCCATTGAGTCAGTGATGCTATCTAACCGTCTAATCTTTGCTCTTCTTTCCAGCTTGCAAATTCTATAAATGTGAGTTAGGAAGGAGACTTACGTTGACAAAGCTGACTTTGGGATCAACCACTGTTAGTGATTCTTAGCAGCATTCTGTGGAACATGCTGTGCACTCAGTCATGTCTGACTCTTGGCGACCCCAAGGACTGTGGCCCACCAGGCTCCTCTGTCCATGGGATTTCCCAGGCAAGAATACTGGAGTGGCTTGCCATTTCCTTCTCTGGGGGATCTTCCTGACCCAGGGATCAAACCTGTGTCTCTTGCATCTCCTGCATTGGCAGGCAGAACCTTGACCATTATTAGCGCCACCTGGGAAGCCCTCTCGCATTGTCTGAGACAGAAAAAAAATTACCCAGAATTGATTACTTGAAAGGGCCACACATGAGCGTCTTGTTGTTAGCAGACCTGAATCAGCTCAATCAGCCAGAAGAAAATAATGTATAATTTAAAACTGACCCAAGATATGTGACTTGTGGAATGGGGGCCCCTGAGTCAGTGTTAGGGTGTTGCTTCAGACAAAGCTGAAATTATAGAATGAAAGGATAGTTGCCGGGCCACCAGATAAACGTCAGCACTGTCATTAGACCAGTGAGACAGCAGAACATGAAACGTCTGCGTGCATGCTAAGCTGCTTTAGTCGCGTCTGATTCTTGGCGACCCACCAGGCTCTTCTGTGCATGGGATCCTCCAGGCAAGAACAGACCTGTGAGACAACAGAACAGAAACTCGAGGGTGTCAGTTTCATCAACCTTGGTTTCATTCTGAACCACTTCTCACGCTTCCTCTGCTCCCCACAACCCCCAGACCCGCATAATCTCTGTGGCTCTTTATTCAGCCTGTCCTTTATCTCAGGGTGAACTAGTTGCTCTGTCAAAAGCCTCTCTCTGGGTTATCGCAATGACTCACCCCACCATCACTGTAACCATTCAGTCATTGGTTGGGCACGTATTAGGTACCTGCTAGGTGCTGGAACTGGTAGATGCTGGGGATACGAGGATGGATAAGATGTGGTCCCTGCCCTGAAGTAGCTCTCCATCTAGGAGAGAAGACAGATCAAAGAGATGTTACCTCTTGGCTATGAACTGGGAAGGGCAGCAAGTTCCAGTCCATTATCTGGGGGGGGGGGGGACCCACCTTGTCAGGCATCAAGTGTATTGAGTTGACCAAAAAGTTCGTTCAGGTTTTTGTAAGATTTTTTGGAAAAACCTGAATGAACTTTTTGCCTAATCCAGTACATACAGAATCTAGGGGGGTGACTAAATCATTCTTCAGGGGGCCTCAGAGACCCTTATCCTGTTAGTTAAAGTACTCTAGCTTGAATCTGTCTTAAGTGAGCATCATCCACAGATCAGACTGGGTGTGCCAACCACATCAGCTGGTTGAACTCAGGATGGGGAGGGGGATGTTTTTATGTTTTGGGGGTGGGAGGAAGTGCTCTTCAGACCCTTCAGATAATACTTACAAAAGAGGGGTGACAGCAAATAGCCCTTCCAGGTCTAGCCTCAGAGTGAAACCTCTACAGAAACAAGGTATCCTGTTGCTGATAATGAACATCCTAGTATATTATGCCATCAGCACGACTGTCTCTTTTCTCCATCTTGCCAAAGACCCTAGCATATTTTCTTAGCTTCTGGTCAAGACCCTAGAAGTGGATGAGTGATCATCTCACTCATGGAACAGTAACCTTTTTATCCTGTCAAACAAATAATTACCAAAAATGTGATAAGAGTTCTAATAGTGGTATGTGCAGGATAAAGTGGGGGCGTGACGAAGGACTAGTTAATTCACACTAGAGAGGAGGAGGTTTGTAGTAACTGGGAAAGGTTTTCTTTTTTTGGAAACTGATTTTTTTTTTTTTAATTTCACTGTGGTAAAAGTACACAGAACATAAGATTTACCACCTTAACCATTTATAAGTGTTCACTTCAGTAGTCTTAAATACATTCACAGTGGCGTGTAACTAATGTCTAGAACTTTTTCACTTAGCAAAACTGAAATCCTATACACATCAAACAATTCTCCATTTCTCTGTGACCCTACTCCCTGGCAGCCACTATTGTGTTTTCTGTTGCTTTGAGTCTGACTCCTCTAGATATCTTGTAATACAATATTTGCCTTTTTGTGACTGGTTCAGATCACTTAGCATAGTGTCTTCAAGTTTCATCTGTATTATAGCATGTGTCAGAATTTCCTTCCTTTTAAAAAAAAGCCAAACAACATTCCATTTTGTGAGAAATGGCAACCCACTCCAGTATTCTTGCCTGGAGAAATTCCATAGAGTGCACGCGGTCACGAAAGAGTCAGACACGCCTTAGCGACAGAGCATGAGCATTCTTATAGCACAGCACATCTTAATTCGGAGTGGCCTCACGTGGCTACTGGCTACATAATAGAAAGCACAGTTTTGAAGGATGACTAGTTTACTAGACACAGACATGGTGGACGGCATTCCTGGCAGAGAAAGCAGTGTGAGCAAAAGCTTTTGCCTTTGTCACTTAGAGACGTATCTGCAATATCCAAAGTGAAAGTAGGGGAAGAGTGGGAGATGGAGATGAAAAGTCATGCAGTGGGCAGCCCATGGAGAGTGTCTTTCGTGCCCTGCAGAGCAAGCAACGTGGTAGGTGAGGGGAGTCGCTGATTGGCTTTATGCAGTGTAATAACATGATCAAGCTTGCATTTCAGCAGGACCACTCTAGAGGAGCTGTGGCGAATGACTGGACGGCAAGTAGAGGGAGCTAAGGCTGGAGGCAAGAGGAGCTGTTAGGGCAGCGGGTTAAGAATCTGGTCGGTTGATGAGGAGGGTCTGAAGTAAGACACAGGTACAGATTCTGAAAAAGAAGTGTTAGAGAGGAGATGACAAAGCCAGAGAAATGCAAAGAGAAGCACCACAGGATCTGATGCTTGACTGAACATGAAGGAGGAGAAATAAAAAGGACAGGACTCTTTTGGGGGGTCGCTGGATTGGGTATTCAGGTAAAAAACAATGCTACTTCCTGAGTAACAAATCATACTGTGTTTATTACCATTTTTGTGAAATGGGGATAATGATACCTCTCTTACAATATTTTCATGGTGACTGAAGTTTAGAACTGTATCTGGCATGTAGTAAGGAATCCATAAACATTACTCATCATCAGCATTATTATCTTATCAATCATTTGGGTGATGGGACCGAAGAAATAGGAGCAAGCTCAATAAGGAAAAAAAAGTCTTGTTTTGGACATCCAAGTGAAACTGTCCAGTAGGTTGTTAAATATACATATAGACCTGGAACCCAGCAAAGGTTTAGGCTGGAGAAAATAACTTTTAAATATATATATATTTGGCTGTATCAGGTCTTAGTTGCAGCATGTGAACTCTTAATGACAGTTCATTTCAGTTCAGTCACTCAGTCATGTCCGACTCGTTGTGACCCCATGAACAGGCAGCAGGCCAGGCCTCCCTGTCCATCACCAACTCCCGGAGTTTACCTGGGAGTTGTTTGTTACTCAGGAAGTAGCATTGTTTTTTACCTGAATACCCAATCGAGCAACCCCCCAAAAGAGTCCTGTCCTTTTTATTTCTCCTCCTTTATGTTCAGTCAAGCATCAGATCCTGTGGTGCTTCTCTTTACCCACACTCATGTCCATTGAGTCGGTGATGCCATCCAACCATCTCATCCTCTGTCGTCCCCTTCTCTCCCTGCCTTCAATCTTTCCCAGCTTCAGGGTCTTTTCAAATGAGTACGTAGGATCAATTTCCCTGACCAGGGATCACACCCAGGCCCTGTGCATTGGGAGCATGAAGTCTTAACCGCTGGACCACCAGGGAAATCCCTGGAGAGAGCAACTTAGTTGTAGTTCAGTTAGTAAAATCCTGGTGGTAGAAGCAGTCGCCCAGGGAAGGTAAGGATGAGACTCAGAATAGACATCCAGTGAGCTGCTATCTACGAGACTGGCAAAGAAAGGGAAGCCAGTGTGGACCGAGGACAGAAGAGAGATGGGGAGGAAGGAGCAGAATGTGGGAGCGCAACCTTGAACACTACAGAAAGGCTGGGGAGGATGGGAATGAGGAGTCCACTGCAGAGAGGTCATCATTGACCTTTGCCAAGGCCTTTTCAGTGAGTGATGGGAACAGTCTTTACACAGAGGCGGAGGAGGAGATGCTCACTTTGGCAGCCCATATACTAAAATTGGAGCGATACAGAGAAGATTAACATGGCCCCTTCATAAGCTTGTTGTGCATATTTGTGAAACATTCCATATTTAAAAAAAAAATAAGGAGGAGGAGACAGCATGGTATACCTGTATAGGTTAACTTTTAAGAAGCTTGGCAGTGAAGAAGAGAAGAACAGAGAGATGAAGTTTAGTGTGCATCTGTGGATTTGAATGGGAGGGATTTGAATATATTCAAATGTTGGGGAGGGAAATGTAATGAAAGGTCGAAGTTCAAAAGTATGAGAAAGAGGATGCTTCATGGAGCTATTTTCCTAGGGTTGGGGGAAGGTTAGACAGGATGGGACCAGGTGATCAGATGGTTGGCCTAACTTTGAACAGAGGGACAATTTTTTCTTGGAGACTGGAAGGAAATGGGGCTTCCTAGGTGGTGCAGTGATAAAGATTTCGCCTGCAGTGCAGAAGGCCTGGATTCGATCCCTGGGTTGGGAAGATCCTCTGGAGAAGGAAATGGCAACCCACTCCAGTATTCTTGCCTGGAGAATCCCGTGGACAGAGGAGTCTGGAGGGCTACAGTCTATGGGGTCTCAAGGAGTCGGACACAAATGAATCAACTTAGCACACACGCATGGAAGGAAATGAGGATGAAGGTAGCCTAAGCTTGCTGAAGGAGCCACTACAGTGAGGCAGGGTGCCCTGACGGCTGGCTGGCTCCAAAGGGAAGGTCAGATCACCTGCCAGGTAAACAGAGTGGGAATTTGGTGGAAAGTTGGAGAAAAGTGATGAAAGGTCCCAAGATCTGTTGAGCAGAATGAGAAAGGAACCTGACCGAGGGCCTTAAAAAGGTTACTGAGTCAAATTAAGGGCCCCAACGTAGAACAGATGCTGTGAGCTTGGCATGGCATCAGTCTGCAGTCACAGCGACGCAACCTCACTCGCGGTCTAACAGGATCTCCAGATTGAAGTAGGGGTAGGGTCTCATGAGGGGGACAGGAGACCCAGGCACCCGAGTGGCTGGTGAGTCAGAAGTTTGTAAGGAGTTCGGGCTGGGGGAAGGGGGAGGAAATGTGATCAGAAAGAAGCTAAGAACTCACAGGTAGCAGAGGAAGCAAAGGCACTGAAGTTTTAAAGAAGTTGAAAGGTGGATTTCTCTTTGTTAGGAAATGAGACTAGGGCATTCCTCAGCAGTCCAGTGGTTAAGACATCACACTTCCAATGCAGGAGGCGTGGGTTCGATCCCTGGTTGAGGAACTAAGATCCCCCGTGTTGCACGGTGCAGCCAAAAAAAAAAAAAAAAAAGAAAAAGGAAGCAGTGGCCATTGTGCACTAGGTGTGGGATTTGGAACTTCAGACATACAGTGGTGGGAGAGTTCCCGTTGATAAACTCCAAGGTGAGGCACAGGGTTCTAGAGGAGGGACAGTGGCTGGAGCCGAGGAGGCCAAAGGATCAAGACAGCACCTCCACAGGGGACTGAAGTCCCACAGGGTGGCATCCAGGTTTAACTGGAGAAGATGGTGAGTCAGGTGCCCAAAGGTCAGGGGGACGCATCCAAAACCAGGACAGGAAACAGCTCTCAAATGTCACTGAGGGGTTACAGGATTATATATTTTGTTGGTTGTTCAGTTGCTAAGTCGTGTCCGATTCTTTGCGACCCCATGGACTGCAGCACGTCAGGCTTCCCTGTCCTTCACCAGTTCCCGAAGCTTGCTCAAACTCATGTCCATTGAGTTGGTGATGCCATCCAACCATCTCATCCTCTTCTCTTCCTGCCTTCAGTCTTTCCCAGCATCAGGGTCTTTTCCAATGAGTTGGCTCTTTGCATCAGGTGGTCAAAGTATTGGAGCTTCAGCATCAGTCCCTCCAATGAATATTCAGGACTGATCTCCTTTAGGATGGACTGGTTGGATCTCCTTGCAGTCCAAGGGACTCTCAAGAGTCTTCTCCAGCACCACAATTCAGAAGCATCAATTCTTCAGCGCTCAGCCTTCTTTATGGTCCGACTCTCACATCCATACATGACTACTGGAAAAAACAACTCTGAGAGGTACTAGAAGAAAACCGTGATAGCCAGGTGGGGAGGCTCTGGCCAGTAGTATGTGCCTTGGAGTAGAAGTTGCTTCAGGGAAAGAGAGAGAAAGCAGACAGAAGATGAAGGTGTTGGATGGTAACACTGCCTATAGAAACTGTGAGTGAGACTTGCTGGTGAGGTGTGTGGTCTGGCGTGGTCAGGAGGGCTTCTTGGAGGGGGTGGCAGCCAACAAGGTCCTGAGAGATAGAATGACCTGGTAGCGACTCCCAGTTGGAAAACTGTGCAAGGATCGGCTCAGAGACTGGAGTGAGCCTGGCAAAGGATTGACTGTCTAAGGTTGTATTCCTCTAAAGGATAAATACAAAATTAAAAAAAAAATGCATCAAAATATTTGATGGTGGACACGGTAGTGGAAGGAGAAGGTGGGATGAACTGAGAGTAACACTGACATATATATACACTACCGTGCATAAAATAGTTAACTAGTGGGGAACTTCCGTGTTGCCCAGGGAGCTCAGCCCCGTGCTCTGTGATGGCCTAGAGGGATGGGAGGGAGACTTAAGAGGAAGGGGTTGTGTGTATACTTATAGCTGATTCAGGGCTTCCCTGGGGGCTCAGACAGTAAAGAACCTTCCTGCAATGCAGCAGACCTGGGTTCGATCCCGGGGTTGGGAAGATCCCCTGGAGGAGGGTATGGCAACCCACTTGAGTATCCCCTGGACGATCCTGGAGACTCCCCATGGACAGAGGAACCCGGCGGGCTACACTCCACGGGGTTGCAAAGAGTCGGACAGGACTGAGCGACCAAGCAGAGCGCAGCACATAGCTGATTCACGTTGTTGTACAGCAGAAACTAGCATGACGTTGTAAAGCAGTTATATTCCAACTAAAAAGATGTTTGTGTAGAGAAAGGACTTCCCTGGTGGTTTGGCACTTGGGACTCTGCATTTTCACTGCCAAGGGCGCAAGCTCAATCCCTGGCTTGTGGATTTACATGCCTATGGTTTTCTTAAGTAAACCTATATTTTGGCGACAGGAACTACAGTGTTGAGAAAATGATCCAGGTTTGGCATCTGAAAACTGGGTTTGAGTTTGGCCTCACCTCTGAATTAGCCAGTCTGAGTACTCTGGTGGTTTGGGGACGATGACGGTCTCGAAACTCTTCAGTTTCATCCTATGTAATATAAGAATTAAGACAGCTCCATGCTGGGAATGCTCTCTGTGCAGTTTACCTAATGATCTAACTTTTTTTTTTTTTTTCCATGTGCGAAATGGAGACATTCACTTTCCTCACAGGACTAGAGCGCAGGATGGGGTTTGATACCTCGTAAGTGCTGGGTATCTGATGGTTTTTTTAATCAGGCCAGAGAGATAGGCTCCATGCAGCTACAAAACCTGCCTGGCCAGGAAGCCGCGGTGCTTCTGTGGCCCCAGACTGGGTGAGCTGGAGGGGTTCACGATTCACTTAACCCTAAGCGAACTATGAAATAATATCTCCTGCTCTCCTTCATCTGAGGTAATCATTTAGAGCAACTCCGCCAGCTCAGGAAGGAATGGGCTCTGGATGAAGGGGGTGGGGGCAGGGGCCTGAGGAGAAAGCCTGCCTCTCGGGTGAGGTGCACGGACAGAAATTTCAAACGTAAACCTCTTTTTGCTCCCAGGATGAGAAAACCACTCACAGGCTTTAGATGAGAGTGATTTCAGAGGAGCATCAAGTTGGGAAGTTAGCCTCCAAGATTATGGGAAGATTGGTTTTGAGATTCAGCAACACCACGGAGAGTAGAAAATGCATCTTCTCAGCTTCCTCCATTCGCAGGAGGGTTAGCATTCCTGCTTCTGTACTAAATGGGTTGGAAAAATTTTCCCATTAAGATTTTTTATATTGGCAGACAGGTTTTTATCCACTGAGCCTCCAGGGAAGCCCAGGAAGGGGCTTTAACGAAAACCCCTGCCTTAGTGCTTCAGACCCTTCCCCCCCCTTTCCTGACCAGTCTTCAGAGAGTGCTGCAATTTGGCAGCAGGAAACTGGCCATTGGAAATAGCCCGTGAAGGCCCTTAGTTCCTAACTCATAGATCAGAGGGGCTCTACTTAATGAAAAACCACTGAGTTTTGAAACCAACCCAAACCTGGCTCTGATATCACCTGTCAGTGACATCCTGCCTCGAGCATCTTTCCAAGTTGTCTTCAGGTTGACCCAATGAACAGTCAGTCCTTCATTAGGCATCTGTCTATTTAGTCTCCTCCAGAAGCAAGCAGAGCTCTGCTCCAGGGACAGAAGAGTACATGACTCTGCTCCTGGACTCACGGCCCAGTAGGGGAGGCAAAGAGGAATGAAATGATCACTCCAAGAAGTGTCTGCCACAGTCTATATGGAATCTAGAAAAACGGTCAGGAAATGGTACTGATGAGCCTATTTGCAGGGCAGGAATAGGGACATGGAGAACAGACTTTGGACACACAGCGGGAAGGAGAGGGTGGGATGCATTGAGGGAGAAGCATTGAAACATATACATCATACCATATGCGAACTAGATCGCTAATGGGAAGTGGCTGTATAACACAGGTTTGCTCAATGCTGTACTCTGTGACAACCTAGAGGGGCGGTGTGGACAGGCTTCATTGGGAGGGGACATATGTATACCTGTGGCTGATTTGTGTCATTTTATGGCAGAAGCCAACACAATATTGTCCAATTATCCTCCAATTAAAAAAATAAAAGGAGTGTATGCCGCAAACTCTAACAAATGCTATGGAGGAATCATCCTTTTTATGACCCAGCCATGACACGTGAAGTTTGTTAATATTCTACCACGTCCCACTGTGACCAACATCTGGCTCAAAACAAGGTCCACAAACCAAACACACTCCTTCTCTATCTGTCTCTCTCCCAGCCCCTAAATGCCAGCTCCCTGAAACAAATGAACAATCCCTTTTGTTGTGGCAGAAGAAAGACAGTATTGAGTTTTCACCCACATCGCTTCCAGCTCTCCAGCTCCCTTCTCCCCACAACACCCACCCCCATTTCGTTCAGGATCGGTATTTTGGTTTTCCAAGGGCAGATAAATGCAGAGAAGCTCTTATTTTCTTCTCAGCCTTCGCTGCTGTCATTGTTTCTGTGTCAATGACCTCTTTGTCCTCCCGCTGTGTCAGTTACCATGGGCTGCTCTGAAGGCGAAGGCCCTGTGGTTTTCCAGCCCAGAGAGGGCATTTGTCAGTGGAGTTCAGGAATGTCAAAGGGGTGACCCAGATTTGCAGCACCAGAGGGAAAACTGGCTCATCGCGAATATCCTGTGTAGTCAAATGTGGCGTATTCTTCATGTGAGGGAACAAATGTGTTTGTAGAAAAGTTAATTGCGGGACTCACTACCTAAGGACCTCAAGGCCAAGCAAATACATCTGTCCCCAGTTGCAAGTTACCAACTATTTCTTAAATGCCTGCTTATTCATTTCCAACAAAAGGAAAGTGTTGCATTGACTTTTCTCCAGATTAGAAACTCTACAAGAGGAAAAAAGGTTTCCAAATATAAATAGGCCTGAGTTGTTTTCATCCTATTTCTTCAAAGCTTCCCTGCTTATCACAAAATTTGTTTTCCATTCCTTCTGAAACTTGTACGTAACATATTGATACAAAGATGCTATGAGGAGGTGGGTCACAGGCTCCCAGAGTTGGAAGTAAACTTGGCACTGAAGCATGCTAAGTCGCTTCAGTTGTGTCCGATTCTTTGTGACCCTGTGGACTACACAGCCCACCAGGCTCCTGTGTCCATGGGATTCTCCAGGTAAGAATACTGGAGTGGGTTGCCATGTTCTCCTTCCAACCCAGGGATTGAACCCAGGTCTCTTGCGTCTCCTACATTGGCAGGGGGGTTCTTTACCACTAGTGCCACCTGGGATGACCCTACCCCCTCATTTTACAGGTGAGAGATGGAGGGAGAAAGAAGTGAGGTGGTCTGACAACAGCAAGTGGCAGAGAAGATGCCGGAACCCAGCTCCTTAACTCTGATAGGTGCTCTTCTGCACTATCCCTCATGAAGGTACAATTACAGCCATTGGGATACAGTGGGCCCCCTAATAGCTTTCTTTTAAAACACATCTTTTATTTTTTATTTTTTGGACTACAATGTTTTGATTTACAATGTTGTGTTAGTTTCAGGTGTATAGCAAAGTGATTCAGTTATACATATACCTTTTTTTTTTTTTTCAGTCTTTTCCCATATAGGTAATTACAGAGTACGGAATAGAGTGCCCCATGCTATGCAGTAGGTCCTTGTTATCTGTTTTCCCTAATAGCTTTTTATCGTGACTCTCTAGTCTAGAACCCTGGTACCGTAACTTCCCTTTTGTGATCTACAGGAAGTAATGGGGCATTTTGCATACTCTTTTCTCCACTCTTCTCCTGAAAATGGCACCCTTTGCTTTAGGAAACCACTTCATATGGTTCTGGTGGGTTTAACATCACTCTGCTTGGGCAAGTAGGTAACCTAGGCCAGCCAATTCTGATACCCTACATCTCTGGGCAGGAACTTGGTCAGGTAGGTGGTGGGCATGAGACCCAAGCAGAGGCAATTGAAATTGCCTGGTGATTCAGACAGAAAAGAATTGGCCTGCATTGTAGGGAACCCGGGTAAGATCCCTGTGTCAGGAAGATCCCCTGGACAAAGGCATGGCAACCCACACTGGTATTCTTGCCTGGAGAATCCCATGGACCAAGGAGCCTGGTGGGCTACAGTCCACGGGGTCACAAAGAGTCGGATAGGACTTCGCGACTAAAGCAGCAACAATCCAGAAAGCAACTTATTTTTAGGTCACTTTTAGGAGGTGGTTGCTTTCCTTCTTTAGTACTGAGATGTATTTTTAGATTTGATTCCACCATAAATTCTAATTTTCCTGTAGTGGGTAGTTCCTTTATTGGACCAAGTACAAGATGAAATTATTTTTCACTATCAGCCCAATCATACTTACTGGTCATCCTTAGTGGCGCCTTTAAATTATATACTCACTCACTACCCTTGCACTATTCAGAAAAAAAATCTGGACGCTTTCTCTTCTCATCAAATCTGAATCCTTTCTGTTCCTATGATAGGCTCCCTACTGATTCATTTACATTGCCTACTTGGAAGGATATCCATTTGGACATGAAGTCTCTACTGAACTGAGTAAAGGACTTCATAAGTATTTACTGAAGTAAAGAAACAAAGTTAATGACAACACCAAGAGGCGTCTCTCAGGAGCCAGGAAATGTGATAGCCTTTAAAGATATATAATCGATAACATGGAAATACTTGAGACACAAGTTTCATTACCTTTAACTTCATATATAATAACCAAAAATCCAACATGCTCTTGGGTCTTTTGGAAACAGGAAAGTTTGCTCTATTTCACAAGACTTCTCTCTCTCCTAATTGCACAGTGGGAGTCCACTGATACACAGAAGGTGGCTTTAGAAATTCACAGATTGGGAAATTATAAGGCACCAGCAGTGAAAGCAGTCATGCCGACCTGATGAACCACAGGCTGGTAAGCCTGTGGAATGCCAGTCAAAACTCAAATTCAAATTCAGCAAGGTGTGCTGTTCCGTTAAAATAATGATCTGAGAGATTACTGAGTAATGATATTTGTACAGTCATTTGAGGTGATTCATTAACACTGTTTGCTAAGTAAATACTTTAGCAGACCACTGGAAACGTTAATCCGGAGTGCAAAAAAACATATACCATGGTCAAACCAAAGACTATTTCCTTTTATTTGATTTTATTAGGTTTTTCAAGATCTGTCTCAACAGCTTAAAACCCAAACATTCCCTATCTCCTGACGGGGAAAAAGGCAAACAGCTGGAAATTAAGGAATGGCACAGCCTGACCCCAGTCAGTTCGTAAGCGCACTGTTCAGCTGAGCCTGAGGGAATGGTGTGGTCACTAAAAGCCCCAAGCCGCAAAGATGCTAGAGAGAGGTGTGGAGAGCAACCAGACTGCCAGGAAGCTAATTGGATCACTTTTTCTTTGTAATCTAGTTTGGAGCATTTATTTATTAGAGGAAACAGTTGAGATTTTTCCCTGCACAGACAGTGCCCTTTCACTGGATAATTGGAGATGCCACCTGCTTGTGACAGACACCTTTGGCATCTGATGAACGCCCCCCCCCCACCCCCAAGATGTGTCAGGATTGATGGTTGGGAAGTCAGCCGCTCACCACAGTAGAGACAACTGAAATATGGATGTGTGCATATGTAGGTGTGTGCGCGCTATATGTTGCATCTTTAGAGAAGTTTCAAATGAAGTCTCCACTATGGCTGAGCAGTCAACAGACAGCCTTGCAGCCATTCTTACATGAATGTAGGTCCAGGAAATAAGAAGTGTTTATGAGAAAAGCGTGAACTGGCCACCATCCCTCCCTTTCTCTTTCAGGCAGGAGTTACATGGACCGCGTACACCTGCTTGCCAGGAATCCCCCTGCGTCTTTCTGTCCTCCCTGTGTACATGGGAATTTTCTGACTCCAAAGGAATATATAGGCTTGTTGGACTCTCAACCATCAGGTGCAGAGTGGTTGTTCCCAACTTCTTTCCTGCTGCCCCACTATTCCAATGAACAACTGTCTCCATCAGCCGAGGGGCCCAAGGTACACCCACCCCACCCAGCCCAGAAGGTCATGCGCAGAGTGGAGGAGAGGAGCGGGTGCAGGATAAGAAAGCACGTCCTCATAGCTCTGGTCCATCTCCCAGCCGACACCCACCCTCACACCCCTTTCTTTGTTTGCTTCCTTGAAAGGAAAACAAACTGCTCTTTCCCCCTCATCTCCCGGTATCTTCACACTTCAGAAACTAAACAGTACTTTGGGCTCAAGTCTTACTTGCATCCGTTTATATGAAACTTCTCCAGGCTTATTGGCCATGTGGAAAAATGTCTCCATGGTGGGGAAAAAAAAATCACAATACTGTATTGAAAAAGGAGTGATAACAGCTGTTCAGATATTGGTGGCAAATAGTTTTTTATACTCTTACTTGTGAAATCTTTGGGGTTGGTCAGGGCCCTGCTACCACCTACTCCAGTTTCTCATCTTTTGGAACATGCTTTTTTGTAAAGCCCTGCCGATTGTGCCATTGTCATGTCAAGGTCATCGGCAGCCGTAACACACTCCTAACTGTAGGGGCAAAACACCAAGACAATTACTAGAGGCCAGCTTGCTGTTCGGATGGGGTCGTGGGCTGACACCACAGTCGAGGGTCAGGCCTAGAAGTTAAACTTGCCAGTTCAGTGAGCCGTAGGACTGACTTAGACCACCAAGCTCCCAGGACGCTGAGGGCAAGGAAGCAGATACATCACCCTACTCGTGAGGCTCCAGTGCTCATACATGCTGCCGAGGTCCCCCTTTTTTTAGTTACAAAATGACGTTTATTTTTAAAAGAGGGGTTTTATGTAGTGAGCAGGGAATCCCAGCAAAGGCAATTAAGAGGGTCCTGCAAACTAATTCACTTAGGCTGCAAAATGCCTGGTAACTCCTTTTAGTCCTTGAAACAGCATCTCTCTCTCCACAGTAGTCACGCTCTTTACCTTCTAATTTTCCAACTCACTTAGATAAAACTGCTTAAACAATGAAAATTATTAGTAATCTGATTTTCTTCAAGAGTCTGTGGGGACCTTTATCCTTTGTTTACCACACTGTTCTTAAGATAGGTTACAATAAAATCATTTGACAGAAAAACTGGATGAAAAAAATGTCTGGCTTTGATTCAGGAAGCTGACAGAGTTGAGGTTTTGAGGACTTTCCTGGCGGTCCAGTGGTTGAGACTCTGTGCTTCCCAGGCAGAGGGCGTGAGTTCCATCCTTGGTTGGGGAACTAGATGTGTACATGCCGAATGGCATGGCCAAAAAAAAACAAGTTTTCTTTCTGAATTTAAACCTCAGAGGTACAGGTAACTTAAAAAAAAAAAAGATGAATAAATTTCTAAATATAAAATGGAGACAACTCAGTCTAAAAACTCAAACAGAATATTAAAAACATTTATTAATAGAAAAAAGTTTAATGCATTCTACAGAATGAAAATGTTCAATCTTTTCCTATAGATACTTAAAGCCAGTGATCCCACTTTTCATTAGTATTTGCTAAAATTAAAATCTATGTAGCAGCTTCTTCTAGATTTAGTTATTTGTTCAGGACCAAAGTGAAGCCAAAGACACAAAAAATAAAACTTTAAACTGTGAGTAGCTGTTTAAAAAAAAAAAAGACTACATACACATAAATAGGATTACACGCTTTAATCTGATTGACATGGAGGAAGTTGGGAGGACATGAAAGAAACTGAGTGTGGGCTCTGCCTTCTGCATAACCAAAGGCTTTCCAAAGAGCAAACTGAGGTTTCAAAACCAGATTTTATCAGAATATTTCGGGAAAGCATACTATGTGTAATCCAGGAAATACATTATTTGCAGAATAGGAAAATCATCATGGGCAATAAAAGATTAAAACAAAAGAAAGCACCAGGGTTTTGAGCAGGTCTAGTAACGTGAATACATCTGCAGAAACAACAAAAATGGTCTTGACTGGCTGCTATGGAAACATGCTAATGAGGATTGGTCCATATCTTATCATCGTTTAAAACATGTTTCTTTGGAAAAATGGCAATATTGGCTGAAAGTAAAGCCGTCCTTTACACACCCAGCTTGTTGGCCTGGGTGAGAACAACTTTGAGAACTGGCATAAAAGCGGAGGTCTCACTGAAGTTGCTAGTACTAACTATGTGGGTGTGAATAGTCAAGCCTTCTGAGTAGTTTCGGGTCTCGATGCTCCGCGCGATGTTGTGTAAACCATTGATGATTGTTGGTGAAAGCTGAAATCAAGGTGGAATAGAGAGAATTAAAGGAGAATCTTCCATGAGACCTGCTATAAACATGAAACCCTGGCATTTACTAGGAGTTTGAAATACACATTATTTTAAAAAATGGATAAACTGGTGAGCACTTCTAGAAAGTTTCTCAGACCAAACAACACACAAGTTACAAAGTGGAACCACGACACAATGATTTATGTAAGGAATTATTTACGAACTACACACATATGATCAGCCAGGTATTTTCTTACAGAAAAGCAGCCAGATTTCCTCCCTTAAGTTCGAAAGTTAATGTCTTTCTCCACTTAACAGCTTTAAATCTTCATTACTTTAAATATAGCCTCACACCTCTGAAAGTGTTTCCTACGTACATGAAGAGGTTAAAGAGTCTTAATCGTGACATCCTAAAGTAGGGACCCAATTTACTGTAAGACCTTATTGACAACAGAAACCCTGTACTCCTGGTCCACTTTCATTAAGAGGGCAACAGTCCTCATTATGGACTCAATTTGCTCATTCTTAACTGCTTTTTATAGTCCTGTCATCTCTTAGCATCATAAGACCTACAGTTGTTTTTCCTTTCCATATCATTACTTGGCTTCCATACTTTTCAGAGAAGACTATTTTTTTGGATCAGTCCATGGGCTACAACTCCCTTTCCACTGCTATAGTAACTTTCTCTGGTTGGGTTCTCACGTTAAGTGGTTATTTTTATCTGATGGGACTGATATGGGGAATGGGGAAGAGGAATGCTAAAATAAAAGAGTATGAAAAACTCCAATTTTTTTTTTCTGCTCAAGTGTTTTCATTAAAAAAATAAAACAGTGCTAGAGAGGCATGGAGAGGTGGCGAAGACAGACTGTCCGCTCCTTACTGCTGACTGTCTTCACAGTTACACACCCTGACCTGCTCAACCTGCGGCTGCATCTGGCTTTGCCTTTGGGTAACAGCTATTGTAAAAGAAAAGGGTCAGAGTCTTAAGATTACGAGAAAGATGACAGATTTGTCTCTGGAAAAACAGAATATCTGCCCACTCTGATTTCTTAATTCAAGGCACATATAAAAACGAACAGAAGGCCAGTCACCTTAGGGCCAATGCAGGCCAGTTTATATTCTGTTATAAAAAGGCTAAAACTTCTCTCTCTCACACACAAACACAGAGCCCTATGCCCTTATCCCCAGTAAGTGAAATGTAAGATTCAGGCAGACCAAAGCTCAGTCTGTAGTCATCATGATCATTCTGCCCTCAAACACACTCCGTACCACATACTATACACTACATATGATACACTTAGACACGTAAGTGCTGATGAGACACATATGACTAGCAACCAGGAATAAATGTTTACCATAAACCCTTCTTTTCCCCATGAACTTACCGTCTGTTCCCTAAGTTTATCATACAGAAACTCCAAACGTTTGCTGGCATCATCTAGCTTCCTCTTGGTTTGCTGCAGGAGAGAAAACACCAGAGATGCTACATTTGAACAATAACTTTTATCCCAAAAATTTACCCCATCTCATTTCACTAAACTTTATAGTCATGGTATTGAACAACTTGATTTTGTAAAGAAACGGCAATACCTTACACTGAGGAGCCTGAGCAGATGACTAGAACAGAGAGCAGTAATTTCTTACGGCAGCAAGGGCCAGAGGTGTGCACAGTGGGAGCCTGGCTGGATTTCAGGGCTCTGTGACACTCTTGAGGTGTGGCTGGCCAACTACACTACATCCACAAGCAATAGCGAGGGCCACCTGGAGGCAGCAATGCGCCATGCATGACAGAAAAGGAGGTCTCGCAGTTACTGTACAGTAAATAAGATGAATGTTACGGGAGCTAGAAAGCGAACGTATGGGTGAACTGTGGGATCTTTTTCTAACCTCAAGAATACACTTAGTCACATTTGGTACATTTAATCCTATCTTATTCTGGGCCTTTAAAACACCAAAAAAAGAGAAAAAGGAGATAATTATTTTCTGATGTCTTAAGATTATTAAGAGGGGAGTATTAAAAAAGAGTTCTTAAATTAAAGGAGTCCTCCTACCTTTCCCCAGTACTCTAAGTATAGTGAGGGAAAACTAGTCAAAAAGTTTAAAATCATACTGTGATTAACTTAATGATCTACATTATGCCTAGAAGTGATACTGTTTTTCAATTTTCATTGAATGCCTACCGTGTACCATGCTGGGGATGGTTTTGTGTCTCATGGAGCTCATATTCTATTGGGTGGGAAAAAGATAACCAAGCCTTACTTTGTGTCATTTGGACTGAACTGCAGTGAAACTAAGAACAAAGCCGTGCAATAAACATGATTTAGAGCCCTGGATTAAAGTGGACTTCTGTGTGCTGTTCAAAGTCCTGGGCAGCAGCAGAACTCCTTCCCCGAATACTGACAGGGACAGTCTATCTTTGTCTTCTGCCTGGTCCTGGGTCACCAGAAAGGAGGTGATACTGTGACCTGGACGAGGTGAAGCTCAACAAAAGTGTACTAAGCGAGGCGGTGCCCCATGTGTCCAGCCGGCTTCTATTTACACTGACTCAGGCCCGAGGAAGACTGAAGTTTCCCCACCAGGACCGCTCCACCTTGCAGGATGGTGACCTCTGTCGAGAGGTGTGCCCAGGAGACAGTGTACGCCTACCTGCTTACCAGCTCCACCTGTTCTCTGTTCCTCTCCTGGTCTTTCCATCACTCCCAGAACGCCAGGTGCTAAGGTTTATGTTAACTTTCCCTGCCTCTGCTCTCCTGACACTGTCCATACAGGGAACCGCTTTTCAAAAGACTAGCAGAAGGCGGCACATAGTAATACTAAACGTCTGATGAAACAGCAAATCCCAGAGGCTGTGTTTTCAAGCAGACAACTGGCTAGTGACTAAATAAACATATTTGATGCTTGTTGGCAGAAAATGAAATTTCATCTCGAACAAGACTGGCTTTGTGGAATTTTTGTTGTTGCCAATACACAGTCATCCTCTAATAAACTAAGTCAAACCAGTCGCTTTGACATGAATATGATTCCAATATCTAAACACTGAACTGTTTAGGACTTTGCAAAGATTGCCTATCTACTTTTAAAAGCTTTTTTTTTTTAAAGATGTTTTGATGTGGACCATATTAAAAGTCTTTATTGAATTGTTATCATACTGCTTCTGTTTCATGTTTTGGTTTATTTGGCCATAGTGCATGTGGGATCTTAGCTTCTGGACCAGGGGTTGAACCTGCATCCCTCGCGCTGGAAGGCAAAGTCTGAACCACTAGACTGTCAGGGAAGTCCCTACTTCTAAAACCTTTAGACGTTTACTCTGAAAGAAACCCCAAGTCTGAGTTTCTTGTATTTCAGCATTCTGCCCTATTCCTGTGCCAGACGTGAGGTCTGCTGATGAGACTGTGCAGCTCAGGGTTGAGAACATGAATCCTGGAGCCAGACTAGGTCTGGATGCTGGCTCTGCCTGGATTATACTGTAACTGTTTTGTGCCTTAACTTCCTCATCTGTAAATAAATATGATAAACCTACCTCCATGAGGTTGGTTTAAGGATTATATAAAGTTATATGTAAAAAGCAACTGAGTATGCTTTTATATGTAAAGCAAACCATATATAAGCGCTTGCTTTACTACTTTTGTAAAAACTTTCAAAATACATCTTTTAAGACTTTAAGCAATAAATATAAAAGAGCTCCATAATGGATTCTTTTAATTAAGCAAAATAAAAAACACATACAGGATCTGTGGCTGAAGAGAGGCAGCGCTGAATAAGATCCTCGAACGTGGTCTTTAGAATGAGGTGTTCATCTGGAATAGGCTTCTTGGTAATTTTTTCTGTTGGCAAAGATTGCACATGCTGGAAGAAATAATACCATTAAAATGAGCAGAAATGACCAGAAACTACCTGTATACAAAGTCCTGAATCTGTCATAAAGGGAAAACAACTAATTTGTAGATAGGTTATTCAAAATCAAGCAAAAAATGAACGAGTGGAA